TCCAATTGTCGAGTAAAGGTCTCACGTAGATTTAAATCATAATGCTTTACCACGAATTGAATCCCAGTTTGACAACAGCCCACATGTATGTTCTGTTGTGTCCCTTGAGTCTGTGGATCCTCTTTCATGGATCCTCCCTCCATCGCCCTGATGCTGCGGCTGAAATCGACAGGTTATCAGTTCGAGAGCGGAGCTAAATTGATCTTTTGAGCTTCAACTTGAACTTGTTGACAGTTCGCGATTTCGGGCGCAGAAGTTCCCAGCCAGTTTTGATCAGTTCAAGTGCTAACAATGTCACTGTTTCAAGAGGCCTCTCTTGAGAGGTGGCGCGGCGGCGAGCTCTGTCTCTGCGAGGGTTGCAAACAATTCTGACCATTATTTTCTGTCCTTTTTTGGCACGGAGTGATCGATGTTCAAACTATTCATTTGAGCACATCGAATATTTCGGTCGTGATGGTACCTTGTTAGATGAAATAGACTCGCTTCTTATTTGTTCTAAGGGGAGAACAACCCAATCGGAAATTTGACCTTGGTACAAGCTTAGTATGACATTTTTTCACATTTGAATAGAGTTGCCAAGCTTATCTTGCTAATGTTCCCACAATGTTAGCAGGACATTTATTTTACCTCTGGGACAAGCTTGAGCCCAAAGATTGTGCCAAGGTTAGGTTTGTAAGACTGCTCCAAGCCTATCCTGACAATATTGCCACAATATTGGTGGGACATTATTTTACTTCCGAGACAAACTTGGATATTCAATATTGTGACAATGTTATGTTAATAATATTGCTCCAAGCTTGTTCAGCGGTTATTATGATCATGATGTTCCCATAGTCTTGGTGTTAAAATATTGCCATAGTATTGGCAAGATATTTATTTTACCTCTGAGACAAGCTTGGATTTCCAATCTTCCCTCTGAGGCAAGGTAGGCGATAGAACGCCGTATATTACCTGCCGTCCTCGCGGAAGAAATTTCTCAGCGTCGCAATGCCTATAATGTAGGCATACGGAACATTGGAGTGCCGAGGAACCTTCCTATATCAGCTACTTCCTTGGCTGCTTGCACTGGCTGTAGTATTCAACTTGGATCCCATTTACAACGGGCACTGCCCACGCGAAACGAGAACCAGCCCCATTGACGGGGCGGCCGCGCGCGGACCGTTGCCAAAAAGCTCCATTTGAGCCCTTGGCCTAAGAATATCGATAAGATGGGTTAGACGCCTATGGATCATGTGCCTATTACGTCAAAAAGCGAAAGGTCGCAGTTTTTGCCCTTTAATTTGCCCTTAAAGGGACTGCAACGGCAGATCCGCGGCGAGCGCGCCCTGGTGGCGGAAATAGCAAACGCGGTCGAATTGTGCTCGTCGCGCACAATATTGTGTTAATCTTATGACAATATTAGAAACAGAAGCTTAAAATGTTTATTTTCTTAATCTTGTGACAATGTTAAAGTGTGAATATTACCACAATGTTGTAAAAATAATGTTAGCATAATATCAATTCAGCAGTTTTAGATATCCAATATTGTGTCAATATTATGACAATATTACGAACAGAAGCCTGTTATGTTTGTTGTTCTAACGTTAATTGAATGTTAAAATAATAACAATACCGCAGTATCACAGAGATAACATCGTCTCGATATTATTTTAGCAATTTTGTTTTCCTAATATTGTGTCAATATTGTGTCAATATTATAAGCAGAAGCGTATGTTCAGTATTTTTTTTAATAATGCGCCAATGTTAAAACAAACATATTACTGCAATATTGAAAACATAACTCTACGACAGTATTAGTTTACCAATATTGTATAACTAATATTGTGACAACATTGTGACAATCTTGGAATCACCGAGCACCATCTGACGTTGGATTTCTAATGTTGCTAATATTGGTGCAATATTAAAATACTAAGGTTATATATCCAGTATTGATGGCATATTGAACCAAGATTCTCAGGCCAACCTTACTGTTGAAATATGCTCACAATCTCGCTAAGGTTGCCACAAAATTATTCCGATCTGCCCAAGGTCAAATTTCCGATTGGGAAAATGCATATTTTCACAATTTGACTCGCCCAGCAATTTAGAAGACACTTACAGGGCAATTCTAAATTTTGGTAGGATTTCAGCTAGAGGTTAGGATTTTCTTTTGAGGACGATCTAACAGTCTTCATTCACTTTTATGAGTATAAAAATGAGTTTTCCGACACATGACATGCAAACAACGGGGCTTTTTTACAGAAATTATCATTAGAATTCGAACCTTGTTCCACTCCGAGAAAAAATTGATGGCAGTGAACATAAAATATTTAATAAGGCAGACAAATTTTAAAAAAATTACATGATTGAAACGAATGGAGCTCGAAACTTAGAATAGGAATAGAGATATAAAAATAGTATATATCAATGACTTTTTTTTCTTAGGGAAACCTATAGGGAAGGGAATGTAAATAAGCAGCCTCTCACAAGGCCGGATTCACCTACTTGCCGCCCATGGGCCGCCTATATTTTGCCGCCCCTTCTCATTCGTTTTGAAACTCGATAAAAACCATCAAATGAACGTGCCAGCGGGGGAGGGGTGCATAAGACGCATTTACTCGTGTTGAACACATGCATTTTTTGGGAAAGCCCTGTCAACACTACTAGCAAAAGTTCACGAAACTTTGCGCCAAAGTTAAGTTCCGTAAACCTATCTCTGTGTGGACGAGACCTTCCATTCATAAGAAATGAACGAAAAAATTATGAAAGAACAAACATTAATGTGGTTCAATGATTTTATTTTCCGCCGCCGCGCCGCGCAGACCTCACCGTGTTGGACGCAATGCGTGAAGTATTCACGCAGTCTTGCAGGCGCTATGCATTTCACGCTGACCGCACTGTGTTTGGCGCAATGTGTGAAGTATTCATGCATTCTTGTAGGCACTATTCGTTTCACGCTGACCACAATGACCGCACTGTGTTTGATGCGATGCGTGAAGTAATCGTGCAGTCTTGTAGGCGCTAATATGTGTTACATGCCGATTGCCGAGCCGAGGGCTTCTCCTATTCATCTCAAGTCCTCGTTATCATTTCTCTCTAAGTCGCTCCGTTCTAGGCCAAATTGCGTGCTTGGTTTCTCTCGTAACTCGACTTATTGAGGGTGCTGTCTCTTGTATTTGTCTTAGAAATTACTATATACTCTCAGGAAATGAGAGATTTTGTCGTATTTTCTCGTTTGTAATTTTGTTTTTATAAATCCGATTTTTTTATACCTACACTTTAAAAAATTGCAAATTTTTGCCGCCTCTTAGATTTGCCGCCATAGGCCGCGGCCCATGTGGCCACCTCCTTAATCCGGCCCTGGCCTCTTAGAAAAAATCCAAATTAAATGTAAAACCTAATTGCAATGTGACTATCAGTTCAATTGTTTTGAATTATAGGTCAATTTTATTGTTCTGGACTTTGCTCAAATATCTCAACTCAACGTAAATCTTAAGGCTACATTTTTACTCGAGAATCTATTCTCTCACCGCATGATGCGCACGTTTATTACAAAATAGGGGTGTTTGAACATGCATGTTATTATTATCGAATACTAGAGCGTTTTGGAATATCTTCGTAACGTCCGAAGATTTAGTTCATTCATTCTGTGAATAAACGAGAGAGAGTATAGAACTAATTGCGACTGCGAGAGGAGAGCAGTAAGAATATCTTTGCAGCATCCAAACAGTCAACTTCCTCATTCTGTAATTGTAAAAACTACAAAAACCCTCAAAAACATTTTTCGGGCAAAAAATCCGGTCGAGGAAATTGACGTGTCACTTCCTTTTCAAGTATAAGATAGGCAAAAACCTTTGATGAATTCCCAAGGTCCACTAAGACTAATAATCATCAAAATTCTGTAATTGTAACGAGTGCTCGCATTAATCTGATGGTGGGTAAACGAACAAGAGTGGAGATGACTGCAAAAGTGAGCGCAAACAACTTAAACGCACGGTGGTTGTTGCAAGCGTTTCGGTTCTCACCCTCAGGTTCAGTTTGTGCACAGTGGGTTGTGTGCGATCATGACGTGGACACTACGAATTGGAACTCTAATGAAGCAAGAGCTAAGATGCATTTTAGTTTAAAAGTACGATTATATGGGTTCCCGTTTGATAAAGGAAGATGATTTCGATACCTCATTAATCAAGCAAGGCTAAAGTTGTATTCCGAGTGAAAACCCTCTCCCAACCTTCCACCCAAAAAGAAAGAAAACTGGAAAAACTCTCTCTTTTCTTACTTATTGTGCATTTCATTTTACTTTTATGAAAAAGACCACGGTATACACTTTTTTGAAAGTTCCACATTTAATTTCTTCCGCTAACCATTTTTGAGGATGCAACATTTGTCGTTGGGGGATAGAAACTGCAAATTTTTAAAATGTTCAACCAATTGACGAAAATTGTCGCAGATAAAGATAACTTTTCTCATTCTGCCTTGCCAATAAACGGATGACACTAATCAGTACAGCTCAAGTACATTTCTATTGTCCCATCTCTTCTCAGATTTAATTTCTCAACAATAAACAAAGAAATATTTTGCTTTAATTTTTTTTTTTTTTTAATTTTTACTTCATAATCTTAAGGAAAAAAAGACATTTTCAAGAAATCATTAGATTTTTTTTCTCTTTTTAAAAGATTAAACTTTCGATACATTAAGTTGGATGTGGACTTCTGATTAAACAACGTCTTTTGCAAAGGCGCTTAAAACATTCTCCGGAGCACGAAGAATCTAGAGTCGGTGCAAGAATTCCACGAAAGCAACCCCGCGACCTACTGTGCTACTGATTGAGGGGTGTATTGAAGAGGCCCCGCGAAGAAGGGCTCGAAACCGACCAATGGGGTGCGACATCGGGCCTCTGGGGCAGAAGGGCTGTCCCTCCGACCATCCTTCCAGTTTGCTGGTAAGTCACCCGGGTTGGTTCGCGAGGACGAGTCAGTTTCGGTTGTTCTGTTGTCTGTGGATTTCCGAATTTTCCACTTCATTTGGTGGGTGCGCGTTTTGGCAGTGGTGTGCTACCCTTAGGTTTCTAGTTGTTTCTCCGGTGCCAAAATGCAGACGCCGCTGGATCATTTAAACTTTCAGTCAAAAATACAACAAAATGCTTCAAGTAAGAACTTTAAAATTATTTTTCGGATTTATACTTAACTATAATTTCTTTCAAAAAAGAAAAAAAAATCACGTTAACTGCAAAAACTACAGGATTCAACATTTTTTTAAAGTAGCGATTGATTTTTTTTGATACAAACATTAAGGAAGCACTGAAAATATTTGAGGATGTTTTACCTTTTATTGGATAAAGTATCAAATTTTGGGCTTTCAGCTCGTTTTTTAGCCTAATTTACATTATCATTTTAAAAAATCAAATGTTTAGTAAGCATGATCGGGCGCCGGCCATTTGAAGCATTACGACGGCGAAAGTACTGAACCGCGTATCTCGTTTGCGGCGTTTAAACATCTCCGCTTCCATTTTATGTTTTGAAGGAGAACAAATCAATTACATCCATTGAAGTCTTCACGGAGGTTTCTTCGGAACGGAAAGAAAAATCACGGAAGTATTCAAGACTAAAGTTTAGTAATTTTTCATTGGAAAATTAAGTATGGCAGGAAGTTTGCAACGTCGTAAACCAAGCTACGTGGTCTGGTACTTTCACCGTCAATAGGTAATAAAATTCGCATGCATGTCTTGTTGTCCTATAAGTGTATTTAATAATCGCTTCTGAACAGTATGTATGAATGATGGATGAAAATTTTGTGGATATATTTATCTTAATTTTCGGTTTCTAATCGATCAATGCCTCTGAAATAGTTGATGAAATGTAAAACATAGAATTTTTTGTCAATGAGCTATATGTGATTGATCGCATGGATGAATATATCAAGTTTACCTCTTTTAGGTAGGTAAAGAAATATACAATATAGCCTATGGGCCTATGAGTAATGTAACATTGTAACCAATGCGGACGAACATAGGTAAACCGTTTTGTGGTTTGCGGGTGTTTTGAAAACTAAATGTAGACATATCTGCTAAAATACTGCTTATACGTACTCTTGTTATGTTCTATAGAATATCATGGATTCAGCGTAATATTGTTTCAAAACATTTCACAGAAAAAAAAGGATGCTGGCTCAACATTCTGGATGTAAAAAAGTAGGTGAGTTAACCGCCACAGCAGTTAGCTTTACATCTTGACAATGCTATAGTAACTGCTGTGGCGGTAAATTCAGCGTTTTGAGAATTGTCGCATACTTTTTTACATCCAGAATGTTAAATCAGCATCCCTTTTTTCCCGGCGTTTGAATAAATGGATACAAAAGAAAAATCAGCAGTAAATCTACTATGCGCTACATGAAACGGGATGGTGTCTTTTTCAAAACCATGCAGCCTATTGTTACATACGAAGATTATGCGTATTTAAATCTTGAAAGTTCGGAGCTAAAATGTAAGCTGCAACTATAGGTTACACGGACGAGTCGTTGATTTCTCTCCGTCAAAAGACAAACCTTTGTAAAGAGAGTTTTGATGGCGGACGACTATCGCTTCATTCGCGCCTTTCGTTTAAAATGAATCATTCAATAAATCAAAAATAACGCGAATGTTCATGTTGATCTATCATTGAGTGTCGCCTAAACTTTCCCCAACTTAAAATTTGCCTTTTAATATCCGCGTACCTAAACCTAATTTTCGAAGATGCTTCTTAGGTAAAAATATACGCACAATAACCGTAATATTATGATGCAAAATTTCGAGTCACCGAACGTGTTAAATCTCTTTAAGTCTCGGAAGTAATATAGGTACATCTTGTCATGTAATATGACTTTTTTACTTTTTAATAACTTGCCTACTGAAATTTCGACTTTCGTCTTTCATGCGCCGACCTGTTGTTGAAAGTATGCAAGTTGAAACAATGTTTTGATCAATGTTTCACGGCGCTGTTGGATGATTCAATAGCCCCACCTTGAGGTAGAAGATAATTTCTTTGCGCCTATTTCTACATAATAATATCAGCTAAAAATCGTCTCAATTATACCACGAGACAACTAGGTTTATCAAATACTCCATTTCCCTTCTACCTTAGATCAATGCGCGTATGTAATCTTTATTAGTTGGTTAGTTAGTTTTAGTTAACGACGATCAGCATTTAGGTTATTTACGTCGGATACGCATACATATCATGTTTACATTATATACACATTTATATTATTATTTCAAAAGAAAACATCGAAAGGAATCCCTTTTTGGCATGTTGACAGAATCATCCCCGCTAACTGGCAAAATTTAAGGGAGTATATTTAATTGAAGAAAAGGTCGCCTTGCGTGTACAACTTAAAAGCCAAATGGCGGTAATATATCGCTTTTGAAGTAGGTTGGTTATACGTTTTTAGGAACATTCCGGCATGCGTGATGTTAAAAAATAAGGAAAATTGAACATCCCCGATTTTACCGAACTAGACATTAAGTACTTGCATTTTATTCGAAGTTGTTAAAGGCCGGATATACGCATACATCATGAAAACCTCATTTACAACACGAATTAGCTCGGAAAATATAACGAAAACAAAAAAAAATTGCATTACTTATCAGAATTAGTTTTAAATTAAGTTAATAAATTAATTCATCTCGGGAATGAGTTGGTGGCTAAAAGTTCGCATGCATCGGGGCTGTTAACTAAGGGCTGCAGAATAAGTCATGCTAAATTCGCAATTTTTCGACCTTACTCCACCATTATTATGATTTAATGACGTAAGCCCCCACCCATTAATGCGTAAAAACAACATGGCGTAACGCAATCCTATACGATCGTCCCACCCTATTGCGTTACGTCTTTCATTCACGGCTCTATTGGGCATACATATACAACGTTTCAAAACCATGCGTAGAAGTGCAAAACTTTAATTATCTTCCTTGTGATACAAAGGCGTAAGCCGTATGACTGATGGATTATTTTACAAAGAGTACAGAGACTCATTATGCATCACTGGAAAATAGGGACTTTAATTTAAGCAGCAATGTATGCGCTTGATTTTGCCATCAAGATTCCCTTTGCGTCAAGAATAAAATTGTCTGAATCAAGTAGGTTTGCGTTTGGTATAAGCGGCTTTCATTTTGACTTAAGCATTGAGAATTCCTCGACGTGAAGATGGTTTAGATTCAAGAGAGTACTGTTTAAGAAAATTATGGCTCAAACCAAATCATTTGTTTTTACCAATAAGTTTATATAGATTGGTGCATCTGAAACATTAATTCATGTTTCGATATGTTGCTGAAACGACAAAGCCGAGTAATTATCCGCCCGTAAAATTACATTAAAATAAAATTAAAAACGTCGCGTTTTGCCAGCTGACCCGCCGAACAACCAACTCCTGGATCACGAGCCAGTCGCAATGGCCGCGATGCAAAGTGTGAGTAAACAAGAGGACGCCATATTTTTCAGGGACAACTGGTATTGGGAGACAGACTGTCCCTTGCGATGCCGTTTACAAAGGACCGCAACAATATGAAGACCCGTGAAAAGGGGGAGGGAAATCTGTGCGCAGAAGTCAATAGGAGCGTAACCATCTTTTTCGACCCGCTCTGTTAGAGTGTCAACACGCTGATTTATCGTTTCGACAAGGTTTAAAAGCACATCTAATCCTTAAGAGAAACACAAATTTCTTTCTGTGATGACTGAGATGAAAGTTCCAAATGGACAATGCTTCACTTCAAAGAAATATGCTCATATTGACACTGTAGATTTTTCAACAGTTTCAATGTTTTCAATGTTTTTTATTTGAAGAACTGTTGTTTGGCGGTGATCTCTATTACATTCACACGCAGTAGTGAAGTTCATCCGTGTAAATTTATATCTTTGACATGATTTAATTTTTTAAACAAGAAGTTTAAAAATGCGCTGTTAGATTGTAAAGTTTGGAGTGCACTTATAAGATTTTTTGGATGAGATCGTAATGAACCTCACACAATTTTTCTCAAGAAGCAACCTCTTTTTTTGCCTCAGCAATAGTTTGGAAAAGATTAATTTTTTAATCAACATTGCAATTTTTCGGAAAACTCCAGTCTCTTTGCTACCTACGGTTCCTTTTAAAATCTACCAATCTGGGCACATAATGGCTTTTATTATCCGGTGAAGTGTGGCGGAGGTCCGAGCCGGATAACACAAATAACTTATAATCAAAACCACCAAAAAGAAGACAGAAAAAATGTCATTTCAAACCCTGCTTATAATAAAAATCAGAAATTTGGCTAATCTTCGATACGATATCAAAAACAATGCTCCAAATACGGAAGGAATTGTAAAACATAATCATCTAATTAAAAAAAAAAGTACGAAAAACCACACGTATCTTCAACTTTTGTCCCAAATAACCGGTTTCGCCGTGTCCGGAAATGTCACTGTTTAGTGGTATAAAAGCGCACCGGATAATCGAACAAACGGATAACCGAGGCGTGGTTAATTAATGTTTTTTTTTTTTTTTTTATTTGTACAGAAATATAATATGTAAAAAATTGTTTGGAGATGTTAATCACATCTGTAAAAAACTTAAATTTAACTTATAAGATAAACGTATACTATGTTACAAACATTTTGATTTAAATGATGCATGAGAATACATGAAAAACAACCTCTTAAGTAATGTTAAATAATGTTTCACCCGCGAATACAGTCACCAAAATAAATACAGTCACCAAAATAAATACAGTCACTAAAATAAATATAGCCACCAAAATAAATACAGGAGCAGAGCGAGAGACGCTTTGCTCCGGCCGACCGCGCCGTCTGTATCCTCATTACGTGAAAAATATGAGGATACAACTATTCCACCTCCTGAGTACCCGCTTTTGCCTACCTTCTCAATTGAAGGCAAACCTGCTGTATTTCCCAAGTTCCCATATATCATTACGAGGATCCAACTTTCAAACAGAAGGGCTCATTGGCAACGAGCTGTAATTGATAGTCACCGTGTCCGGGGTGCAAACGAGGCATCTCCCTGCGAAAGTGGGCCAGCGCCATATGTCGCGGAGGCAGGTAAATCGTGCTCTATGGGAATGCAGCGCGGAATTCATCCCTGGGTGGGATCGCCCGTCCCGCCCTCTCTGCCGAGCTCATTATCAACTCGCGGGAGGGATGTATGAAGGGGAGGGGGGGGGTGGATGCGTAGGAAGATTAAGTTCCCACGGAAGTGATCGGCGTGTCAATTTCGAGGGCACTTATCGGGCCTGAATCCTGGTGACGGATGACACGATCATACGGGCCAACAACTGACGCTGAGCTTTACGCAGGGGATGAACGTACGCTATGGTGATACTCGTTATTAAGTCGAGACTCATCTTACGATGATTTTTCACTACAACCAGGAAGGGTTATACTGTAACCTGCAATTTCACTTCCGGTGTTCTCGATTTTTGAAATAGCCGTCAGATGTTTGTAACATTTTACAACTTTTGCTTTTATATTTCGGGATTCTAGGGGCTTAAAAATTATAATTAAACGAAAAATGTGAAGGACGTTGACCCAAAATATTTTGATGAAATGAACATGGAATGTTTCAGTGGAGCAACTTCTCTCCCGATAAATTATATAATATAAATGTTAATAAAATATTTAAAAGTATTTGAAAGCAAAACAAAGTGTCAAAATGATATCATCTAAAGGAACAATGTTTCTGGGGGAAAAAATGAATAATTTCGGTAGAATTATCTGCAGTAAAACGCTGCATGCATTTTTCATACAATTCAACTATAGATTTTACGCAGTAAACGATCTATTGATTGACTTGAAATTTTTTGCACAAATTGTTTACCCGGCAGGGATGATTTCCCAGAATTCTCAAGTAATAATGAGCTTTTAAAAAATAAGTTATACGAGAAATTTTGAACTATGCTCGGAGCTACATTAGTATACCTTGAAGTCATACCAAATTCTCCAAACATGTTGGTTGAGCTGTAGTCACGCAATTATTTAGCATAATTTACCAGATATCATATAGAGCATATTTTTGAGTTGTGGGAATAATCGGATGTTCTAAAACGGAACTTTAAGACGTTTACACGGCCAAAAATGGATTGCTGATTTAACAATTAAATTGTTAAAAAATTTGTCCGACGTGTTTCATATGTACATTTTACAAAAGCGGAAAGCTATTTTAACCATGGAGGTGTTAAATTGACGTTTTTCTATTGTGAAATCTACATTGAAACATGTCGGAATTGTCGGACACTTTTTTTAATCAGCAATTTCATTTTTTGTGTAGCATAGGCTCAATGATTAAAATGCATTGAAATCGAAATTTTCTGAACACTTATTGATATCCCATGTGCATGCAATTTAATGGATCTCCTACGGGGCAGACCCAGTTTAAAAGTTGCGACGCTATCCATCATTTGCGTTTGCACCCCCGACTCATCAACCCCACATTTCCACCCCCGCTTTCACCTACGCGGAGCACTTGACATCTGATTTCCCCGCGGCGTTTCCCACCTCGCGGCGGGGTCGGGGGCCGGACAAACGAGGATGAAAAATTAATCAGGCACCTCGGATTGGGAATCGAGGCTACTTATACATCTGTTATCACTGGTTTTCATCCCCATGGCCTGGCTCCCACGCTCGGGCCGGTAATTGGCCGGCTTGGTGGTGCGGTCGCGGTCCGCTGGTGGTACTTTCACCAGGGACGGTATAGCCCCGGTCCGGTGTCCTGCCTGCCCGTGCCTCGATAGACGAGTGGGTTAACTAGTCAGCTAACAAATTGTTAGGGATGCGCTCGTCGTTAGCACGAGATCCTGACCCCTGTTGCCAAGTTCACGCAAGAAAATGGATTGCTGATTAAATTGTTGAGCAATACTGCCGTGCTAAGGAAGAACGCCGTATGAACATTCGAGAGTTGTCAAATTTCCCTCGATAAAACACGTATTTTTGACAACATTCATGCATAATGTATTTTGCCTTGAAATTTTCAGATATTTTAGATTAAATTCCGACAAAATTGTCTAAAAGTTTTGGAAAATATTATTCACAAGTTTTCTAGTAAATTCGGTTTTTAATTGGAAGAAACTTGGCAACGTCTGAAGGCTCATACGGCGTTCTTCCTTAGCACGGCAGAATATGTCCGACATGTTTCAAATGTACATTATACATTAATGGAAAACTAATTAAACGACGGGGTTGGTTAAGTTAACAACTCTCTCAATGCATATTTTTTCGTTTTTTCCTGGAGAATGATAACGATACGCAAGCCACCTTTAGTGTGATCAGCAAACATTTTTAGAACGCAAGAGAAACGTCACGGGATGATGGGGCAAAAGCCCAGTGGCTAAATGTTACCAAATGTATAGGTAAACTATTTCTACGCTGAAACACACGATTTTAAAAAAACTAAAGACCCTTTTTGCAAAACTTCGTCCAACAATACTTCCAAAATTCATGGAAAAAATGTATTGCTGATTTAACAATTAAATGTTTCCAAATTACGTCCAACATGTTTCAAATGCACGTTTTACACTGATGGAAAGCAAATTAAACCACGGAAGTAGGTAAATTAGCATTTTCCTTGTTTGAAATCCACATTGGAACATGTTGGACACTTTTATAACTACAAAATTGAGGTCTTTAAAAGGGCGTGTGAGTCTTGGTATACACTGGAAAAAAAAGAATCTTTTTGCCGCCAAGAAGTATTTTTTCTCAAATCAAGAATTTTTCTGGTTAATTATTTTTCTTGTATCAAGAAGAAGTCAGCTTGAAGCAAGAAAAAAAAAATTCTTGGCGGCAAATTCAAGAATCATCATGCTTGATCCAAGCTACTTTTTTTCAGTGTACTGCTAAGCTTGTGCAATTCCTTAAAGCTTTTGCGGCAGTTGAAATTCATTGAATTCCATCCCGACGCTGATGACCCAAATGTCGCAACGCGGGGGCGCGGGGTCACGCTCGGCGGGGCAGCAAACGAGGACCACAGATGCGCCGCGGGTCGGCGAGTGTGTGAGTGGCCGGCCGCGTCAGGGTGCGTGCGTGTGAGTGGCGCTGCCGTTTCCACCGGCCAAGGTGAAGGGGATGACGCGGACGCCGCCCCGGCGAACCTGTTGTTTCCGTTTTCGCCTCCCTCAGGATCAATGGACCGGAAGCGGGAAGTTACCGGAACGAGCACCCCCCCCCTCCCCCGAGGAGTCCGTAATGGATATTGAAATTCTCGCAAGTACCCCTCCCGACTTCTCGATTTCCGGGAGAGCCCTGCTCTCCGTATAGCTCTATGCTCTCTGGGGCTCATGTGGGAGTTGAGATACGCCCTTTCGTCAGAGGAGGGACGTTTTGTGGCCGGCAAGTGCAGCGTCTTACACCCTCCTCATTGTCGCCCGGGAACCGGGAGCAAGGTGGAGCGCTTTGATTGTTCCTAATTTGCGCTTTGATTAATCAACACCTTCCGTTGTATTATGGCTAAGAGCTGGTTAGATGTCGGGTTGAGGATCCGGGCAGTCTTGCAATTTTTAAAAACTTTCCCACTCCGGGAAGTTTCTGGAAATACCCGATGAAAACTTATTTTCTGCCGACCAGGTTGGCCTAGCGGTCAGCGCGTCTGACTCTAGACCAATAGGTCCCGGGCTCGAATCCTGGTGGTATGGCGACAAATTTCCAAGGAACTGACGAGTGGATCTTCAGGAACACACTCCACTCGGCCTTAATCTGTGAAAATTTGAAAGCCTGAAGCAAGAATGTGTCTTAACCCTAACCCGATGCTCATTCAAGGTTGCAGAATCCTCCACTGGATTAAAAATATAAAATTTTAAAGCGTCAGTGATGTCAGCGGTGACGCGACGACGGGGACACACATGGGCACATGAGCAGAAGCGCTCTTTAACTCATGAGCCCTGTCCACAATGCTCTTGTTCCATGCCCACGGCTCATGAGTTCGCATAGAGTGGCCGCTTAGTTCCGTTTGCTTTCATGTACAATACCGCTTTTCCATTTCCCCCAAAGGAATCACGCCCACTTTTACATAGTTACTCATGAAGATCATTGCGAGCACACCTCATCTTTCCTATACGCCTCTAGTTCTATTTAGCAGAAATATGTCCAAATAATTCTGCTTCAAGCAATGATCTCGTTACTAATATTCAATTCTCCCTTTTGTTGCAGGTAGAATACTATACGATGTCCCATGCAAAGTTTGCAGGGATCACTCCTCTGGAAAACATTACGGGATTTTTGCATGCGATGGCTGCGCTGGATTCTTCAAGGTGTGTCATCGGGTTAATTTTCAGATTTTTGTGCCCACTTTCAGTTCTTTTTAAAGAAAAATTGATTGCCTCGAGTACATGCCGCCACCAGAAGATTATGTCGTTTATTTTTGATGGTGCATCTTTTAAAGACCCGTTGTGTTACTGGATTCACTATATTCAGAATAAAATAAGTGGACGGATCCTGAAATAGGAAACGGTTCAAGTAAATCGCTTAAAAATAATAATAAATAAATCATTGCAACGCGGGTGTTCAAAAAGACATTCATGAAGGCATTGATGGTATCCGGATTAAGGACTTTAGTAAAAAAAACGGCCAGAATTTTTGAAATTTGCGTAACGACTTCGGATTTGGGAGAGATTTATGTCTACAGTCTCGAGTTGGATGAATTTACGAGTCAATCGAGATATACCGAGCTATGAGATACATATTTTACGCAATGGCGTGGGAGGCACAGTAGAGGAAATGGCAGGACTGAATAACTGTATAGAATTATTGGACGCTGATTCTTGGAAAATTATTATCATCGGTTACCTAATTCCTGAACGGAGCTATTTTCAGTTTGGAATGTGGGGGGAATATTTTCATGCATTATTATTAAGCTCAGAGACTCTGAGCAACTCCAGCAACAACAGATATGACCTCTGCAATGCAGTAGTATGATGTGTATCATATTTATCTAAGTGCAAATGCATATGCTCAACGTAGGAAGATAGGTTTCAGAGTAGCATATGTGTCGCCTAAAATGCATCTGTTATTTTATTTTATTATACTAGCGAATAAAAAAAAAATTTGGAAAAAATACAGTAGTATTTACTCAATTGAGTCTCCAAGTTTTTTTCCATCCACCCAATCAGAAGTGCACCCTTAGGCGAAAAACATGATTAATGTTAAATTTATGAAATTTTATCAAGGTGGAAGGAGATTTTTCGTTGTAATTTTATTTCAGTATCCAATGAACTGATAGATGACTTTTTTCTCATTTTTCAGAGATCGATTCGTCGAAACAGGCAATACATATGCAAAGCAAAGGCGGAAGGATCATGCGTGGTTGACAAAACACATAGAAACCAGTGTCGCGCATGTCGACTAAGGAAATGTGTAGAAGCTGGAATGAATAAAGACGGTAAGTAGTGGAAGTCGTTGCAAGGAATTTGAAACATTAATGAGCACGCACAAAGAATTACGATAAAATACGCAACTAAATAACCTCTGATCATCATACAATTTAAACAGAGACTAAAACCTAGAAAAATTACAGTTTAATCTGCATTTTTGTTTGAATTTCAAAATGCGGAGGAAGGCACTCCTTTCGAGTTCTTGACAGTGGCAATGTGCATGAAAAATTGTGTGTTTTTGATTCCAAATTTGTTTTAAAAGCAGCCAAGAAAAATAGGTCATGGAATAACTATACCGATAATGTTACCATCTCATTTCTTCCTTTCTTGACGCGTACCTGATATGATGAAATTAATGATGCATAACAATGTTGTGGTGTACTTTCAAAGTGTTACTTTTTTAGTAGTTTTTCTGCAGCTTGTGAAAAAGATGGTATAATTTTAATGCTTCGTCGGTCATTATCAATGAAAATGTTATTTGATCTTCACAAGTAACTTTCTGTAGATTTGCATACACTGTTGCTCCAAAACTAACACTTTATGAGAATTTCCATATCAAAAAATTAATTTCATGCATTGTTTTGTTACGTAGCGGTGCAACATGAAAGAGGGCCACGGAACTCAACTTTACGACGACAGATGGCGCTATATTTCCAGGACTCGGAACCCTCCCCTCCGATTCCCTCGGTGTTGGATTTGGCCTTACCAAAAATATCATCAACCACATCCTCACCTCCGCGAATTGAGGCCCCGTCGCAGCTACCCCCTCCACCTTTTGTATATCCCCCTACAGCCTTCCCAAAGGTGAGTTGAGCACGATATTCGTAATATTTTCAACAATTTTCCAGAGGTCTGGCGAAAATTGAAAAATCCGATATTCACCATATTGATTAAATTACTCTAATTTATATCGATGGCTAAATATGAAAAAATGTAAATCTCAATTACCATGCTTACTTTCCGATCATGATTTATTTCCGTCAAGCTGGGAATCTTGTCAAAATTTTTCGATTTGACCTAGTGCGTGCATTTTTTGGAATGGGTGAAGAAAATTTAAACGGGAACGATGGAGAATTTTCATTTAAAAAATTAAAAATGAGCGGAGTCTCAAAGCATCGCAGTCTGAGACATAAATTTTTGGTTTAGTCATCGGAATGACTCAATGATGTAATTTAAGAGAGGGAGAGAGGAGGGGATAAATTGATAAATTAAAAAACGGGAGTAAAATCATCCAAATCGTTGTATCTGGCAAATTTAGTCTTTTGTTAAAAAAAATACCGTATTCACCCCTCTAAAAAACGAGCACGTCTTTCTGACTGTTTTCAGCCATTTTCCCTAATTTGGGAAATCTGTCATGCCCCTAGGCAGATTATGTCGCGTTAATGTCATTCCTAACACAAAACATGGTCATCGAACAAATTGGATACCGATACTAGGATTCTCTCTCCAAACGTCAGAATTTAATAAATTTATTAATTAAATTAATTTAATTAATTCCACTGTTTCATGTTATTTCCAGATTCCACTAACGCCGCCGAGTATATTACTCGCAAACACAGAAACCGTTTGTGAATCGGCCGCTAGATTATTATTCATGAATGTAAAATGGGCCAAAAATGTTCCCGCCTTCACAAGTCTTTCAATAAAGGATCAAGTAAGTATTTTTCTAAACCATTCTTGAAGTCAATTAAAGTTTAAAATTCTTAATGTTGATTAGTTGGCTTACGCCTACAATAAAACATGAAATTCGGCATCTTGATCTTCGTGTAAAACTTTCCATTGGTAAAATAGAGATGAGAGATCTCTCTTCACTTACTCTGAAATTTATTTTAAGACTTACGCATTTTGTGCATAGTGCCACAGAATGCATAGAGTAAATAGAGCAAATGAGCATGTTTTTTAGTTATAATTGGTTCCATTTTTCAACCCCCATGCTCGGGGAGCAAATAAATTAGTGAGAGAATATTCTTACGTTCCCTCTAAAATGATTTCTTGCTTTTTCACAGATGCTGTTGATCGAGGAAAGTTGGGGTGAGCTTTTCGTGTTGGGTGCGGCGCAATTTCTACCTCCGATGGAGCTGACCCAATTGTTGTGCGCGGCCGCGACCAGAGACATGCACAAAGCTCGCAGTATCGTCCCGGAGATCACAAACTTCCAGGAGACGTTGTTCAAACTCCGTAACCTCCAACTAGATGCCCACGAATATGCCTGCTTACGTGCAATAGTCCTTTTCAAGACTGGTAAGTTTCTTCTCTTATCATGATGAGAGGGAGCGAGCGTGAGCGGGAAAAGGATGATTTCAAGAGCGTGGTGAGAAAAAGTGACAGCCAATACTGTTGTTCTAAAGATACTTTAATTATACCAATGATTCGTTCGTATTGATGCGTAATGATTGCTGCGTTCGTATTGTTCGTAATTGATTGTAAAAGTTCCCTGTTCTCCAGAAAAAAAAGAATAAATTAGCAATCGCTGCAAAACGTTCACAGTTACGCCACTGACTTCAGAGGAGTACGCGTACATAAAGAACGAGCGTGTATACAACACCAAGATGCAACAATTCGTGTTTGATGGCTACGCGGGTTGCATATCTAATAAGTGAAGGCGCACTGGCATTCTTTGCGTTTCACGCAAAACTCATCAACCCACGCTTAACTGCTACAAATAAGTTTGTTGCAAGAACTTTGAAAAAATATCAATATAACTATTATTTTGATCGATCTTTGATACATCGAAAGAAAGGACGCTACTTTTAGTTTTCTAACCGCTCGTTAAAGTCCCCAAGAAGGTTGAGCTCACAATCAGTGGTGAAATCCGAATCCCTTAGAGCACTGGAATTTTCAGGCTTTATTTAAAAGTTAATTTTGGGCTCAACATCAAAATTCCCATTCCTTCTTTCATAATATGTGATGAGACTAAAGTCTTGTAACATAATTTGCAGTTTTCCAGTTAGATTTGACTAATCGAGTATGCTGTATTTCCCGTTTAGTCTCATTCAGTTTTAATGCAACGTTCTCGGAAGAGATTTTTCACCAATAGACTGCGGAAGTCTCTTTCTACACTGTTTCACCTTCTTTTTTTGCAAAGAGTGAAAAGCGAAATTCGATTTTTAGGAAAAATTGCTCTATATACCGATGTTTGTCTTCTCCCTGGGAGAAATCACACATGGATTACATTTTGCACTAAGGAACATCATCTCTGAAGAACATCTCTGGCTCTTCCATAAAAGCACCTTTCTGCATAGGGAAACCAATGGCATATATGTTGTTTCTAAAATGAGCCAGAGATAGTGGTTCCTTATTGCAAAATGTGGTCCACATGTAAGTAAGACAATCGAATCTTTGTGAGGCAGCTTGCCTCGCCTAAAATCGATATTTTTAAAGGATCTAAATGTAGGAAAAACAGTGTTGCCAACTTGGAAGATCGGCTGGTCCTAAGAAGTGTCATTTTGATTTTTTCAGCGGTGGACAGCAACAGCAACAACAGCAGCGGCGACTCGGAGTCTTCGGGGCGCTCGGTGCGGGACGTGGCGGCGGTGGCGGCGCTCCAGGACCACACGCAGCTGACGCTGAGCAAGTACATCTCGGCGCAGCACCCGACACAACCCTTCCGCTTCGGCAAGCTCCTGCTCCTCCTGCCGGCCCTCCGCGCCATCTCCACGGACACCATCGAGGAGCTCTTCTTCCGCGACACCATCGGGCACATCCCCATCGAGCGCATCATCTGCGACATGTACAAGAGCAACGAGCTCTGACCCCCACCCCTCCACCCACCGGAGGCATCCACTTCGTCCGTCGGTAGCACCGCCGAAGGACACGATGATGGGGACAGTTCGGAATAGAGGCGGTGTATCGATTTATCTGCCGTTTAAACTTATGGAAAAGGATCGATAAACAGGGTGTTTGCAACGGACACCTCAATAATCGATTCTTTAGCATAGCTTCAAGTGGGGAAGTATCGATAATCGATCATCGCCACTGGTCGGAGGCTACGCAACCTTGAAGGCAATCGCGTATTCTGGTGAAGATATGTGTGTGATTGATCGCATTATGATTGGAGATGGATGGTTCTCCGGGGTAACGAATACGATAAAATTATAGGAGTTTAACAATTGGACTGCATTTTGCAATTCGGAACTATAAATTCTGGCCCCGCTAAAAAAAAAGGTAGGTGCCATTGGTTTCCTTGTGCACATAAGTGTTTTTTCAGATGAGCCAGAATTTATAGTTCCAAATTGCAAAATGCAGTCCAATTATGAAGTCTACCTAAGTTAGGACTCGGAGAGAATTTTAGGTGAAGGTAATCAAGGTGAGTTCATCTCACATTTGTATACACGTGCATGTCATGCTGTGCTGGAGTGTTAAAAAGTGCATAATTTAGAGCCGAAAAGTATGTCAATCCAAGAAATTGGAAATTAATGCTTGTGTGGTCAGGGAAGAGTTACTGGAAGTTTAGCGTTAATTTAAAGAAACTGGAGCGCGAACATAACAGATATTTGTAATTTTGACATGAAATGAGGGCTGCGAATTAGTTTTGCAATGTCGTGAAAGGTCCTAAAATTTACAGCATCGCGATTAACTGTAAATAAATTTGAGGGTTCCACTGCACAAACTTGTTGAGTGATATTTTTGGGAAAATTTAAATATTGATTATATCAAGAGGGGCTATAGTCTCAAACCAGAACATGTAAAAATGATGTGGCAGAACTTAATTTGCACCTTCGCAAAACCAGTTAGACGTTTCGTTGCCTCTCACACACTTCCAAATTTAATTTTTTACCTAGAAATCTCAAAAATGTCACGTAGCATTTTTAAGTACTAGATTCCTCTTTACAATCACCATAAGGAACAGTATGCACTGATCCCCCACATTTGCAATGTATAAGAGACGTTTATAGTTTGACTTGAGTCAGTTCTTTGCTTTTCACTTCATGATTTTCATGTAACCAACAGCACACTCTAACACTGGAATCAAATTTTCTTAATTTTCTTGCTTCCATTTGTCCGCCTCTTGATGAGTAAAGAACATAAACTCTAAAATGCAATTGGCCCCTCTGTCTATGGTGAGTCATCTTGCTGGACCATCCCCACCTCCAGTATCTGGAACGTGCTATTTCTACGCTCGTGCCCCGCTATTAGAGCCGACGACCAATTTTCTGAAAACAAAGGTGACGCTACTTGACTTATCCGCCAGACTGACCGGCTTATCCCGAACCAGAGGTCCATGTCGCACCCAGTCTTTCCATCTTGGTGTTCGGCCTTTTGTTGTTCGTTGGTCCGGAAAGGCCACTCTTCCTTCTCAACGCGGGAAAAGCCTTTTCGGTCGCTGGTTCGGCACTCCAATTAGTCAGACTCCACGACCCTGGTGGCGTCAGGACTTCCTCCTCAATGAAACAGAAAGTGTTGTAGAGGTGTGGAGCTCTCCGGTCAACCGAAACTTCGGTTAAATTGGTTGAAAGTAAAACCAAGTGGACAAAAAAGTCTTTTTCGGGTCTACCGTCTCTTTGACTTTTAATGATTTAGGGTTCATTCATAGCAGGAGCACCAAACATTGATATAATGAACAAATTTTGTCGAAATACTGCATTCATATAAATTTTTGTTGAAAGGGGATCAATTTCGTTGTTTTTTAGACGAAGAGACGTAACTTTATTCAAAGGCTGCAAAATTGACTGAAACAACTTATTGGAGCGCTGGGTGCGGAAAGGTCATTTCTTGGTTTGTACGGCGTTTCAGGATCTCCGTCAACGTTTCATCCACTGTAATTAAAGTGAGTGAGTGGAATTCGTTAAAACTTTTTACCAAATTTTCTTGATGATTTTACAATGCTGAAAAATATGAATTTCAGAAAAATCATCCCAAAGTTTCCTCTCTAAAATATACATCAGCACTGGAGATTCTGAAACGCCGAAACCAAGAAATGCCCTCTCCGCACCCAAAGCCTCAATTTTTCAACAAGAATGTAATGATGCACTATTTGCCCAAAATTTTGTTGATTTTTGCATGCATGTAGTGAAATGTTCACTAATAACAGCCGAACGGTTTTCTGTAAAAATATGATTTGTGAGAGGAAAATTTGTTACGTTAAAATTTGGTTACGTCCTTTGGTCGAGAAAAATATGAATCACACCTCGATGCGCATCTCAGCTGTTTCTTTACACAGAATTCATTTTGTAGACAAATCAAGGGCTAAAACCATGGAAACGTGAATATAAACCGTACAATGTGACTATTTGAGTGCAATGTTTTGCGTTTCCATACTTTCAGCTAAAATGGGTTTACTAAAATGATTTGTCTACAATAAAAAAACACCTGTAATGTTGCACTAAGCGCAATCTATCCATTTTTCGTCAAAAACTCGAATTTGCCCTGGTGTCCATTGTCCTATTGTGTGATCTATAAAATCATGGACTCACCTATATATTTGGTGCTAGTTGCTTTTTGATCATTCTTTGCGATATAAATTAAATGCAAGCACAAAGAAAATGTTTCAATCCCCATTATTTTAGTTTTGCACCCGACATTGCAGAGCTTATTGTTGTCTCCTCTGATTTTTTCTCCTTGAAAAGGAGTTAAAAAAATCCTGTAAAAAAATGTATTAGGTTTACGTTTGATACCAAAGATTATTCGTATAGTTAAAATATAAACCCCAAATTACAGGTCAAAACCTGATGGTAGAAGGATAGTCAAGTATAGATCATTTCTATATTTGACCTACTTCTTTTTTACAGTGGTCCTTTTTTTTCAAATTTTTGGGCTGAATTGGCAAAAATTTATGAGCATAATGTGCAGCTATTGTTTGTAATTAGAAATCTAACTGACATTTCATTTTGATGATTTGATTAATCTGGTTAGTTTATCATATTTTAATGGTCGATATATCGTCCTAAAAAACCAATGATGTGAATGACATAAGTTTCAAATCATTAGAAATATTTTTACACGTTACTATTTTGTATTTTTAAGAATTCTGCTCAATGTGAATATTATGAATGTATGTATAGAATTTCACCAAAAAATTAAGTTTGTAAATATTTAATTTTCTATATGACCGATAGATTCAATCGTGCCTTTAATGTTACAATAAATATTTTGAACATGATTAGATTGTTTATACTTTTTCATTCAAAAGTCGATTCTACCCTAGCAAAGTTCCTTGCTTTTTAAGCTATGACGATTGAGGCCAAACATTTTCACATTTCCAGAATGCATAGGATTGCCATTGCGGTACACACTGTTTCAAACACTCATTCCGTGATTGTTAGCGTTTCTATACACTTGTAGCAGGGGCAAATATCGGCGAAAAACAGATATAAAAAAGCAAATTTGAAAGAATGCATTTGAATTCACATGGACAAAAAATCTAAAATGCGTCACCCTAGTGTATATTCATTGATCCACAAAAAGTGTCCTTGAAATACCAAAAAATTGAAAACAGTTCAGTGAACAACATAAGAGTATTCTTCAATAGTTTATTTGAATCTACTCTGACGCCTAAAGCCTCCTCAAACGAATAAGAATATTATTTTTTAGGTATAGTGAAAGTGAGCTCAATGTTCTGAAAAAAATTAAAAATTGGTTTGATTCTGAGAAATATTAAAAATCTGCTTGCAATTAATACACTCAAAACTCGCAGATAATTAATAAGTTAAAATGAAATGAAAGAATTCATAATATCGGAATTGAAATATTTATTAATGATGGTCACCGCAACTTTTGTGAAAGAGAGATTTTACCCGGTAACGTAATGCTAGGACCGTAAAGCTTAGCATTCATGTCATAGGTGACAAAATGCATAACTACTCAAAAATTACTCTCCAATGATCGGTAAAATTAAGAAAAACCATTAAATTAATAGGAATTATTCGCAAAAATTTGCAAAAGTAAATGCCAGTGTAATTGCAAAGGAGAGCAATATAATAGTAGCAAAATTGCATGACCCCATGCCCTCCGATGTAGGACGACCTCAAACTTGTTTTGTCTTTCGCTTAATTAATTTTTATTTTTTTATTCTGTCCAGTCAAAAATGTTGACCCCATACTTGATAACAGTCATTGCCTTCAAATTTTAACCATTCAGTTCCTTTCAATTGAAATTTTAGAGTAAAAACACATAGAAATTTGAACTATTCTTTATTAAATAATAGTGATTTAAACGCATCCCAATACTTTGAAAATCTGTTAATTTGGTCTCATAATTTAGTTTTGAAAACATGCATGCCAATATTATTCAAGTCAAACACTGAAAATGCGGTTGGAACTGTGGGGTGCATGGCCCCTTTGGCAAACTGCGGATGAGTATGCGAGTATCAAATATCTGGAAAAAAGAGAGAAAAGGAAATGAAAGAAATCTCCAAAAAATTTGCTAAGCCACTGTTGATTTCACAAAACCCGCCGTATGTTCGTGGTCTATGAATCATCTGAATGTTAAAAATCAGTAAAGCGAGGTGAAGAAAACCTTTTTGGAGATAAACAGCTGTGTAAAATCAGACAGATCGGGGATAAGGCTTTATCCGGGGTGGGATCTAGAGACAACTCCACGGACTTTAGAGAAAGAAAGAACTGACCGGGCTTAAGCGACTCGGAAGAGAGTATAATATCGAGATATCGAATGCCAACTTTCTCCAATCGATCGGTGTTCAGCGATAGTTCAAGAATAGAGGGCACAATGGTGCAAACAGGTATAATCCCTCATAGACAACGAGAACTCGGTAATTTATTGTGCTAATAAATGCGCATATTCTGACTATAGCTAGATATTTGTGATGTTTTACGAAAAGCTTCATTATTAATTTTGTATGTGAATAATAATAAGAGACCTCAACAAAACAGCCTTAATTTCCTGGGCAAATG